GCGCTTAGCGTCCTGAAGAGCATGCTCAAGTTTATCTTCAAGTTTCCTGATATTCGGTGGTAAGACATTAGAGTCTGATTTGGTTTTTAGGGTGATGACTTCCGCCTTTAGTCCAGCCAGCGAGGCGGCAACGTCCGGGGGGATCTGAGCTCCGGTTTATATTCGGTGTTCCAGCTCGTTCAGTTTTGTCGCCAACGTGTTGATGCTCTCGTCTGCCTCTGCCTAGTGAGCATGGACTACCGCTGTGAGGTCCTCGACTTTCCCCTGAACGTTGTCCACCTTCTCAGACATGCCTTTGATTAGAGCTTTGGTTTCTGCAGGATCCCTTATCACGTTGTCCAACTTCCCATTCATATTTGCTAGAATTGCTTTTAACTCGTCCATCTCTCCTTCGTTGATCGAGGTCTCAGCGTCGGGATCTCCTGATTTGGTGACTTTGGTCGGTGGTAGGTTCTTATCTGTAGGACTGCTGGAGTTGCTCCTCCTCCTCTTACAGTAATCTTGGATGGTAACTCGCTGGATGTAAGAGCTGTGTCATTCAGCGGTTGTGCGCCTTCCAGGCCCTTTGGTGCTGGAGTTGGATCTAGATAGCGAGAGCACAGGTGATTTGAGAATGCAGGGGTTCGCCTTACCAGCTGGCGACTGGCCGTCAGATGGGTTGGGCGAAGAGGTCTCTGACATAGCCCGGGAGATGGAGTACGCATGCAGTTCTGTAACAGGTGTGATTATCGGCAGAGCGTGCGAGTGCTAGCGCTGGAGCGAGATGACACCACATGCATTGAAACACTCCACGAATGCCAGGCAAACCAACCTCAAAACCGGCCCTGGCCTTAGGAAATCAGTGAATAGCAGGATAAATATTTCGTGGAGAATGCAGATTAATTGCTGAATAAGTACGTGGGCGTCCCAAAAAGGGCTGGGAGCCAGGGCAGGCAGGGAAAACCGCAGGATAGCACATTAGGCGAAAGAAGTTCGGAGGAGCTTTACCGCAGACAACCTCTCAGTGCACACACTCGTGGCGCCCCTCAGATTTTTTTATTGATGCTTTATATTTTATTTCTTTTTTCCAACTCCTAAATTCTTAACTATATTAGGAGACAATTGAGAAATTAAAGTTTAATCAAAAACAATTATAATTGCTTCAGTACTGGGACCAAGATATTTAATGTGGCTCCATTGGCTGTAATGAATATGTGTTAGAAAAGGTGATAAAATAAGAATATAACACGCTAGCACACAGCTAGCGTTTCCGACTTTTATGCTGGAGGTATCGGTTCGATTTCCCGATATTCCATTTTTTTTCTCACAAATGTTTCATTATTTTTTGACTAAATATTTTTTTAAAACAATTACATTTTTTCAAAAAAAGAAAGGAGCGAAACGATGGCCAATCTTGTATTTCATTACTAGGTTTTGTATGTTAGAAATATCATGCAGCGTCATATAGATTACATTTTGCACAGAATCATTAGTTTTTAACCATTTTTTGTTTACAAATAAATGATTGAATTTTCTTCTACTTTCGGAAACTTCATTTTTTTAGACATGGAATCGATTTTTGGTAAAATTCTGAATATGAATAAATTTGTTACGATTCCGAGCAAATCATTTTTATGATGGAAAATTGATTTTTTATAAATTATTTATAAGAAATGCTCGTCCTTTTCAACAATTCCAATTCCTTAATTATTTCGTCAATTTTCTTTCAAATGTAAGCTTTCTAATTCTTCTTAAAATTTTTACAAGATTTCTAAGGATTCAATATCCAGATTCGAATTCAGACCGGCAAAGTTCAAATAATAAAATCATCGTAAAATGTTCTGAAATTTAGGGTCAAATGGGTCTCAGATAAAAGCTCTCATGTTCGATTACAAAAGCAGAAAATTATTTCACTGGAGAAATAGCCAAAGTATTTAGATATCTTTAAGGGGAGAACGCGATGTAATTTCAAAGATACAGGGACCGATGACTTTGGTACTTTTTTTTATACTCAAAAGATGGCGAAAAATCAAGTTGCAATTTTTTTCAATGACGGTATATAAGTTCACCCATTAATCAATACGGAACAATTAATCATTCCATTTCATTACTGGACAACAGAACACAATTCATTTTATCATTTGAACAATTCTTCGCATGTTAAGTTCATCTTTAAATGCAAGTGAAGAAAAAAAATATTAGTGAAATATATTTAATCAAATTTCTCATGTCGTCAAACTTTAGAAGAAAAAAAATTTCCACAAGGAGAGGTCTTGCCTTTTGATTGAAGGGGCAACGCAGGCTTAAACAATTTTACCTCGAAATTGTTTGATTAAATTGAAAAATCATTTTTATTTCAGCCATATTTTGGTCACTTTGTGAATGTTTGATCGAAAAACTATTTAATTTTGTGAAAAAAATGCGCCAAGAAAAAGTTTTGTTTGGTTTTTACTAGAAAGTTGAAATTTTTGAAAATTGCAAAAAAATAAAAACGAAAGCCAAGTCAGGAATGTCAAATAAATGGCTACAGTACACAATCAGATTTCTATTTAAAAAAAACATTCACTGGTTAGTAAAATTTAAATTTCAAATTTCAAATTGAAAAAAATTGAACACTAAACACTGAAAAATTGAAAATCAAAAACCTTTGACAAAAATTTAAAAATTGATTAATATAAAAAAATTATAACTAAAAAGAATAATGAAACTGACAAATTCAAAAATGAAAAACTGACAAATTTTAAATTTAAAACTCCCTACAAATGAGAACTCAAAGATAAGAACTCAAAAGAGCAAAATGAAAATTCAAAATTTGCATTCGGAGAATTTTACACAATCCGAAAATTTATCTTGAACTACACAAACTGGAAAATTTGAATTCGAAGAACTTTACAGAAACTGAAAATTTTTCTTGAAGCAAAAACTGAGACTTAAAATTTGAAGAATTTTACAGAAACTGAAATTTTTTTTTGCAACAGAAGAAAAATAGTAAAAAGTAGGAGGGACACCAAAATTCACGTAATGCCATGTGTCCCCTCGACTTTTTTGCTATTTGTCTTCTGTTGCAAAAAAAAATTTCAGTTTCTGTAAAATTCTTCAAATTTTAATTCTCAGTTTTTGCTTCACAAAAAATTTTCAGTTTCTGTAAAATTCTTCGACTTCAAATTTTTCAGTTTGTGTAGTTCAAGAAAAATTTTCAGTTTGTGTAAAATTCTTCGAATCAAAATTTTCAATTTTCATTTCGCTGCTTTGAGTTTTTATCTTTGACTTTTCATTTGTGGGGGGTTTTTAATTGTTAATTTTTCAGTTTTTTATTTTTGAATTTGTCAGTTTCATTATTATTTTTTTAGTTATTATTTTTTTTTATTAATCAATTGATAAATTTTTGTCACAGGTTTTTGATTTTCAATTTTTCAGTTTTTTATTTTTGAATTTGTCAGTTTCATTATTATTTTTTTAGTTATTATTTTTTTTTATTAATCAATTGATAAATTTTTGTCACAGGTTTTTGATTTTCAATTTTTCAGTTTTTAGTTATTATTTTTAGAATCAATCAATTTACAGTTTTTGGTCTGAAGTTTTCGATTTTTAGTTTTTCAGTTTTTTAGTTTATATATGAATTTTTTCAATTTTCGTCGGGGGTTTCCCATGTTCAATTTTTCAGTTTCATAATTTTTTTTAGTTATTTATTTTATTGATCAATTTATATTTTTTCGTCAACGGTTTTTTATTTTTAATTATCAAGTTTTTTTGCATAATAAAATGATAAAACAGTTGCACCCTTCAACCCCCTTGCCGTATAAGATTCAATTGTTTTATCGACATGTCGGTAATTCAAGAAACACGCATTTGTTATTCAGAAAATATACATCCAAAGAAAAATGGTATTGGACTCGCTAAATACCATTGAGGGCGCTGTTTTTCGTCAATATGGTCGCTCTAAGGCGCTCATATACACGCCTACACAAACCCAAAATTTGGTTTTGTTGTCTGTGTGAGTGCCCGTGCACCTTAGAGCCTAGGTGGCGTTTTCTTATTTAGCGAGCCCAATTAAGTGGCCATGTAACTCAAACGACAGTTACCATCAGAGTCGAAAATTTCGATTCAATTTTTTTTTAGGGTGGAACCATCATTTTTGGAAAATTAAATTCTTGGGCCCTTCATTCCATGATTATGAAGGGCCTAAGAATTTGATTTTTTTCAGAAATGATGTTTCCCCCTGTCCACGATTGTGGATTCAAATGCATGAGCGCGCTGAAGAGCTCAACGATGACTGAAACAAACGACTTCAGGTGTCTCCCCATTCAAAACAAAAAAAAAGGAGATCAGTCAACTTGCTGCTACAATGCGGAACTCTAGTTACTCATTGCAAAAAACTCATGTCAATTTATTATTTAGAGTGTAATTCAAAGTGAAACAATTAAACATTGTTTTCATCTAACTTGTGTTCATTATTAAATTATCCTTCATCCTGCACCGCGAGATTCAGTCACATTAATTGTTATTAGTTTGATTCAAATGTTAAAGGCATTGTGAACATGCTCCTTCGAGCCGGATGTGGGAGAAATACTTATTGATACACGAGTTAACTGCAAAAAAAAAAATAAACAAAATCGCGTTTGCTAGAGTCAAACCGTCTGGTCCTAATTGGAATCACCGCGCGACTTCTCGGACATAAATCGAGTATCGTGCGTGGCCACGTGCTAGGCTAAACCTAACCTTCAATTATTAATTAATGTCGCCAAATAAAAGGTTGAAAGCTGAACTCTAGGCGATTAATAATAACCTGGCTCTCTTGGAGAAATATCAGAACGAAAAATTAAAGACAAATTCATTGATAACAAAACCATAACCTCACTGAGTAACCACGTGTTATCTTGTCGGAAGAGTGAAAGTGTTAGTTATCAAAACCAAAGCATTGGAGAGCACCCTGGACGTTGTGCTGCTTTGGTGATTAGTGACTTTATGTGATTAACGAGTAGTGATTGTTCTTGCGAGTAAGAAAATTATCAAGCTCCAAAATGCCGTATACGCCGGACGCATCACTCTTGGCCGATGACGACACTTTCGAGGAAACGATGGAAACACTTGAGGTGAGAGTAAGCTTAATGAACAATGAACTCTCGGCTTTCAAGGCATTAGCAGTAGATCAACGAACTCTAGTCGCTGCCAAGCTGGCCTTGGAGCAACACGATGTGTTCTGTCAAGAAATCAAACTGCTTGACAGACGAGTACGTCGGCTAGCAGGTCCAGATAACAAGAGTCACAGGTACTTTGTCACTAAAGGATTGGAAAGTGCTCATAATCAGTATTTTATTGGTAAGAGATACTTCACTGAATTGATACACGCATTGAACTCAAATCCTCCACCAGCAGCAGCCGCTCCACAACCAAGCTCCAGCCTCCCATTCAAGTTTGAAAAAATCAAATTGCCCAGGTTTAATGGAGAGAGCTCCAAATGGATCAACTATAGAAACCTCTGGCTTTCAACCATTCAGAATGACTTGAATAGTTCCGAGGTTCAGAAATTTCACCTCCTGCGCGCTTCACTCGATGGTGAGGCCTTCGCCCTAATCGAGAACATTAAGGTTAGTGACTCCAATTAGGAAACTGCTTGGAACTTGCTGAAAAATCGTTATGACGATGAGAGTGGGTTGATCTGGACGTATCTGAAGGGCCTCTTCAGCATCAAGAAGATAAAGAATGAATTAAGCGACGAAGTACGATGCCTGTATGATGAGACCACTCGTGCTTGTGAACAACTAGCCAACATTGGCAGGAAGGTCGACCAATGGAACGACTTGCTGGTCTATCTCACAGTTAATAAACTGGATGTCGAGACGTGCAAATACTTTGAGTTACATGCCAACTCAACCAAAGTATTCCCCACACTGGATCAAATCAAAAAATTCCTAGACGATCGTGCTCTCAGGCTGTCCCGAATGCCTGTCACCCCATCGAACCTCAAGACTCATCAAAAATACACAGCCAAAGCGCTCCACTCCTCAACAGAACCCAAGGTCGTATGCCCTGCTTGTCAGCAGTACCACTCTCTCAGTTCATGTGCAAGATTCAAGGGCATGTCCCTACGCGATAGAAGAGAATTTTCTAAAACTAAATCCTTGTGTTTTAACTGTTTTCAAGGTGACTACGAGCGGAAGGAGTGCGAGAATACGGGTCGCTGTCGTTATTGCAAGAGAAAGCATCACTCGCTGCTCTGTAACTCTCGACGTCAGCCAGCCAAGGACAAGAATCACAGTAGTGCTGCTCACGCAACAGTTGACAGTAGTGATAGTGAGTCAGTCACATCGAGTTCGAGCTCAGATGAGGAAATCGCACTACAAGACGAAACCCTGGCTAACGACACAGTGGCATGTCAAGTTAGCCCACTCAATGCAGCACCTGAGAATTCCATTCTACTCGCCACTGCTATTGTACGACTCCGATCCAAGGATGGACGAACAGTTTCGGTAAGAGCACTGCTTCATCAAGGCTCACAGCTAACATTCGTTAGCAAGTCCATCGCCCAAGCGCGTCGTGCTCCCCGTACTAGCGTAGATATAACGATTGCTGGAGTCAACGGAACCAGGGCAGCTTCTTGTCGCTCTGCCATTACTTGTGAGCTGCTTCCTGGTGATGGTAAAACCCCCATTCTCTCCATCACTGCCCACGTACTCCCAAAACTGACGTCTTTCATTTCACTACACGCTACCACCGGAGCACAATGGAACCACCTCAAGGGACTCAAGCTCGCTGACCCAATTAACTCCAACAAGCAAAGAATCGAGCTGATAATTGGCGCGAGTCTATACCCAGAAGTCATCCTGGAAGGCACTCGGAAGGGCCCAGCCAACACTCCTTTAGCGCAGGAAGCACTGCACTGTACCATTAGGGAACCAGTCGACACACTGATTCGTCAATTCTGGGAATTAGAGATCTCGACAACCATAGGGCTAAATAAGGATGAGCAAAAGTGCGAAAATCACTTCAAGGAAACTCACTCACGTAGACCAGACGGAAGGTATTCAGTACACCTGCCTTTGAAGGGAACCCTCCCTTTGAACATTGGAGAGTCTTACAGAATAGCTTTCAAGTGCTTGGAACGCCAGAGAACCCGTCTTCGCTCCACTCCTCACCATCAAATCGAGTACGATAAGTTCCTTCAAGAATATCTCGATCTCGGCCACATGGAACCATCACCCGAGTTCGACTCAGAGAACTTGAAACCCGTGTACTTGCCCCATCATGCAGTATTGAGAAAGGATAGCACCACGTCGCCCCTTCGAGTAGTCTTCAACGCATCCAGTAAGACTACAAATCATACTACATTGAACGATCATCTGCTCATCGGTCCACAACTGCTCCCAGACTTATTCGATGTCATCTTACGATGGAGGATGCACCCAGTGGCCTTGCGGGCAGACGTCGAAAAAATGTTTCGTCAAATACTGGTAGACCCTGAAGAGAGGCATCTCCAACGAATTCTCTGGCGAGAACCTACTTCCCATGTGGTCAAATCATTCGACTTGAAAACAGTGACGTATGGAACAGCCCCAGTACCGTACGTAGTGAATCGAGTGCTGAAACAACTTGCACCTGACGAACGTCACTCATATCCCAGAGCTGCGACCATCCTCCAGCGAGATTTTTATGTTGATAACGCCTTATTCGGAGCAAACTCAGTCGAGGAAGCTCAACAGCTCACTTTATAACTCCAACAACTTCTTCAGGCGGGTGGCTTCCACCTCAGAAAATGGGTTTCCAGCCATCCTGACGCTCTTAAAAACACACCACGTAAATTGTTAGCTTGCGATCCATCTGCTGAAATCCATCACAAGGATGCCGTCAAGGTGCTGGGAGTCCTTTGGGACATGAAAAGTGATGCCTTCACGTTCTCCATCTCGCTAGAACAATCAGGAAGGTCCGCCAAACGAGAGATACTGTCCACGATAGCCAGAATTTTCGACCCTGCTGGTTGGCTTACACCCACCACCATCGTCGCCAAGATCACGATCCAGGAACTCTGGTTATTGGGATGGACTGAGACGACCAAGTACCGAAGAGCGTTACCGAAACATGGGAAAAGTACCACCAGCAGCTTATCGAACTTAAGGAAATCAGCATCCCTCGATTCATTCTTGGAGGACCCACTGACCCCCATGCAGAGCTCCATGGGTTCTGTGACGCCTCGAAACAGGCCTACGCACGGGTGGTCTACCTTCGTGTTCCCAATACTAGCGACAGAGCCTCCATCAGCCTGATCATGGGGAAATCAAAAGTAGCTCCTCTCAAGAACTAAACCATCCCTAAGTTGGAGCTGCGTGCTGCTCATTTACTCTCCCGAGTACTAGAGAGAGTGCAGAGTGCCATGAACCTGAAAAATACTCCCATCCATGCTTGGACGGATTCTCAAATCGTGCTGGCCTGGTTGAAGAAACATCCCTCTCATTAGCCTACCTTCATCGCTAACAGGATTTCAGACATCCAAACAAGAACTCCAAGATCTACCTGGCATCACGTACCCACTGCGTCTAATCCTGCTGACTGTAACTCACGAGGAATTCTTCCCAAGGATCTGCTCACACACCCTCTTTGGTGGCACGGACCAGCTTGGCTGAAACACCCCCCAAGTCATTGGCCAAAAACCCAAACTACCTACCAACCATTGGCAATAGAACCTGAGTGCGACGTGCTGAGCTGTACCGCAACACCAATCCAACCAGAAAATCCTGTGAATGAGATCGCCCCAGACATTCTAAAACCCCCTTTTTTTTATTAATTCTTTTTTTTGTTATAGAATCCTTTCGTTCTGTCAACGAAAGAACGAGACGGGTCGTATGTCCACGATTGTGGATTCAAATGCATGAGTGCACTGGAGAGCATAACGATGACTGAAACAAACGACTTCAGGTGTCTCCCCATTCAAAACAAAAAAAAAGGAAATCAGTCAACTTGCTGCTACAATGCGAAACTGTAGTTACTCATTGCAAAAAACTCATGTCAATTTATTACTTAGAGTGTAATTCAAAGTGAAACAATTAAATATTGTTTTCATCTAACTTGTGTTCATTATTAAATTATCCTTCATCCGGCACCGCGAAAATTCAGTCGCGTTAATTGTTATTAGTTTGATTCAAATGTTAAAGGCATTGTGAACACCCCCTAAAAAAATGGATCGAAATTTTCGACTCTGATGGTAACTGCCGTCTGAGTTATATGGCCACTTAATTAGGGTGATTGTCGGCATTCAACATTCTCGAACTGCATGTCGAAAAGAGTTTTTCGTGAGAAGACCCAATATACCGCGATTCTAACCTCGCTTCGTTCGGTTAGATCGCGGTTTACGGGCCTTCTGACGAAAAATTGCATTCATCACACGGTCCAAAAGTATTTTCTGACGAATGTGACTTTGTAGGCCGAGCCGAAGGCGAAAATACTTTGTGGACCTTATGATGAAAATAACTATGTGCGGTAAGATTGAGTTTGTCGAATTTTTCGAACTTTTTCAAGCTTTTTAACTTCATTTCCAGAACAGCTATTTTCTTCTCATACCGGTTTAACTTTTGCCTCATGAGAATTTTTTCTTTTCGCAGTTGAAGAAGCTGATTGTGATGTCATTCCACATGTTCTCTTTCTTGCGTCCATGCGTTTCTGTTTGCTTGCAACTGCTTTAGCGAGTATAGCCTTAGCAGCTGCAATATTCCAACTCGTCTCTGGCTTTTCCCCACGTATTATTCGCATTCCATCACCCATAATATTCCCAATATCGCACAGGAAATGCTGAGGTTCAGGATCTGTTGGGAATGTCGATGTTGAGAGGACATTCTTCACCTGATCCAAGGGAGGTATCACGTCTGATGTGGAAGATGTGAATGTTGAAGATTCATGTCTCATCACATCATCTCTAGATGACGCAGAGGAGTCTCTCTCACTATTTATCCCGAAACTAGCGTTATTCAACGCTAGTTTCGGGATAGCACCCTTGAGCAATCGTGGATTTCTTTGTGTGACTTGGAAATGCAAAACAGAAAAATGTTTTGCGCATACACGGTACTTGTTTAAATCTTTTCCTTTAACGTTCGCTTGCTCTGTGCTATTGACGGCTTTTCTCCAATTTTCAGCCGTTGAAAGTAAACCAGGAAATTTGTGTTTGCCACATCCTGGATCTGGGATACACCCAGGAACAGCACACCCATTTTTTAAGGACATTTACTCGCTTCAAAAATGACAAACACAATATCCTGATAATTTTTCCGCATTTCCGTCAGTGAAGTTGTAATTTTTCAATTCAAATTTAACCAATGCCAGGCGCAATGCGCAGAATCGGACCGCAACTAGCGCCATGAACGACGGAAGGGAGAATTAAAATCATGTTTCACTCCAAACAATGGAGTTGGACCCCCCTGTACAAAAGTGTCTCCTTGTTCCTCGCATCTCACCGTAACCTAATTCAAACCGTTGTCCCCACGAAACTGAAAACTGTTATCACTCGAAGGAAAATAAATATTTTGGTCTAAAATTTAATTATCCACGGACATTTAATAGTTTATCATACAATTTCTGGCAAAGAGTAGTTTTGCTAGATTTCAAACACAAACTACAACCTCACAAAATGTCGTCATCTCTGAGGTCTTGATATATACAGGGTGTCCCGCAACCGACCTTTCTCCTTCGAGGGTATTGAAGAGGGTGCTTTTTGAAGTAGAAAGTTCCTCTTCCATTTTCAGATCCTAGCTTTTTTTTTTGGTCTAAATTTTTTTTTTGGATTAAACTACTAATTTCGGGGCGAATATTTTTTTTTACAATTGTTAAATTTTTTCTTTGTTTTTTTTATGCGACATAACCCTGAAACTAATAGACGATGGAACACTAATTCTAGCACGGAATGTACTCATGAAAAAAATTAGTATGATCCACAATCACTTTTGATTGGTCTTAGTTTTTACGGTTATGTTAATAATTGATGAATAATTAATTATTTAGGGCTAAATTTATTTTATTAATTTAATAATTTGAAATTTATTCATTTCATTTTATTTATTATTATTTTTTTTACATACAGCACAGAGGCATGCGCTGAAAGGGGCGAGGGGGTGGGCGTTGAAATTTGAACGAAAAAGGGGGGAGGGTTGAGAAATGAGTCCGAACCCAAATCATGTGTCCAAAAGGGGAGTGAGTATTGACATTTCTCGAGAGGGTAGAAGGGGTGGGAAGGATAACGGAGGGTTGCAAATTTCACCCAGTAAGGGAAGGGCGCCCCAGAATCTTTCTGAGGCAACTCCAACCCTCCGTTTCCATGCGTTAATTGTATACAAATTAAATAGTTGATTAAAAAATGAAAATTTTAAAAATTGACATTTTATGAGGGGGTGGAAGGGGTAGGCATGATAACAGATTTCAAATTTTACCCGGCAACGGAAGGGGGTCCCAGAATCTATCTGAGTAATTCTCATCCCTCCGTTCGCACGCGTTAATCCAATAAAAAAAAATTGTTGAATAAATTTTGACTATTAGTTTTTTTTTTTTAAAATAAATCATGTAGAGGGGGGGGGAGGAAGGTGGCTCAAATAGTTTCGGGAACCTTCACTCCTTATCGGGTAGAATTTACGACCCTCCGTTATCATGTCGACCCCCTCCACCCACTTGTGAAATCTCGAAATTCGAAATTTTCATTCTTTACTTAACAATTTTATTTTTTATTCAATCAACGCATGTAAACGGAGGAGTTGGGGTAACTCAGATAGATTCTGTGACCCCCTCCGCTTTCTGGGTAAAATGTTCAACCCTTTGTTATTATGCCTGACCCCTCCACCCTCTCGTGAAATCTCCAAATTCCAAATTTGCATTTTTCAATTATCAATTTTATTCTTTATCCAATCAACGCATGTGAACGGAGAGGTTGGGGTGACTCAGATAGATTCTTTGAACCCCTCCCCTTATCAGGTAAAAATTACAACCCTCCGTTATCATGCCTCCCCCTCCCAACCTCTTACAAATTCTAAATTTTCTGAGATTTTCATTGTTTATTCAACAATTTAATTTTTTATCAAATTAACGCACGTGAACGGAGGGATGGGGGTGGCTCAGATAGGTTCTGGGACCGCCTTCCTTTGTCGGGTAAAATTTTCAACCCTCCGTTGTCATGCCTACCCCCTCCACCCCCTCGAGAAATCTCAAACTCCGAAATTTTTATTTTTTACTTGACGATTTTATTTTTTATTCAATTAATGCTTGTAAACGGAGCAATGAGGTTAGCTCATAGAGGTTCTGGGACCCCCTCCCCTTACCCGATAAAATTTGCAACCCTCCGTTGCCATTCCTACCCCCTGCAGCTCCTCGTGAAATCTCAAACTTCGAAATTTTCATTCTTTATTCAACAAATTCATTTTTTATTCAATTAAAACATGTAAACGGAGGGATGAGGGTGGCTCAGATAGGTTCTGGGACACTCTTCCCTTGTTGGGTAAAATTCCCAACTCTCCGTTATCATGCCTACCCCCTCCAACCCCTCGTAAAATCACAATTTTCGAAATTTCAAGTTTTTAATCAACAATTTTATTTTTTAACCAATTAATGCATGTAAACGGAGGGCTGGGACTGGCGGCTTAGAAAGATTCTAGAACTCCCTCCGCTTACAGGGTAAAATTTGAAACCCTCCGTTATCAAACCTACCCTTTCCACCCCCTCGAGAAATGTCAATTTTCTGAGATTT